ATAAAAAAACTCCAATTTAAAAAAAAAATCACTATGGCGTAAAAACAAAACTAGCTATGTAGCAAAATTTAAAAACTGATGCCGACAGATAAAGGCAGAATGCACAAATTATTACTGCAAACAAGAGGAAAACTTCCTATGTACAAAATCTATCCGCACCTTCTACAATTTTGTAAACACCAAACTTAAAGACTCAAGAACCATCCCACCTCTAAAGGGACCAAATGGAAAATACTGCAGCGACAAAGCTGTTAAGGCCAACCTGTTCAACACATTCTTCAGCTCAGTTTTTGTTAACAGCAATGGCTCATGCCCCACATTTCCTAGTCATACCACAACTAACTGAAATGATCTACTACATATTGACTTTACAGAAGAAAACATAGAAAAGGCATTATGTAATCTAAAATCATCCCTATCTATTGGCCCTGATAGATTATGTGCATACTTCTTAAAAAAGCTTTCCTCTGCCATAGCAGAACCCCTAAGCATTATATATGACATATCATTCAGAACCAGCTCCTTACTGAACCTATGGTCCTTAGATTAGTCATCACCAATCTTCAAAAAAGGTGACCCCAGCCTGGTTGAAAACTACAGACCAATCTCATTATGTTGTGTCACGTGCAAAGTCATGGAATCAATCATTAACCAATTCATCACCCTCTACTTAGAGTCAAACAACCTACTCTCCAAAAAAACAATTTGGTTTCAGGAAAAAATTGTCCTGCAGCCTACAACTCCTATACTGCAAAAACATATGCAAAAACATCCTATACTGCAAAAACATCTACTCGACCAGGGTAAAGCAATAGACACAATTTACATAGACTTCTGCAAAGCCTTTGATTCAGTGGTACATGACAAACTACTGTTAAAACTAAAGTCTTATGGCATTTCTGGATCCCTTCATAAATGGATTACTCCATTCCTGTCAAACAGGCAACAAATAGTAAAAATAGAGAGCACTATATCAAACCCTGCTCCAGTTAACAGCGGTGTCCCCCAAGGCAGCGTTCTAGGACCACATTCTTTATACTCTATATAAATGACCCTTGCAATCACCTTATAAGCAACTGCATCCTCTTCGCGGATGATGTAAAACTACTCAACACCACCGACAATGTTACTGCTCTTCAAAGTGACCTTGATTATGTGTCTGAATGGTCAAATAATTAGCAACTCCAAATCTTGACCAACAAATGCTCTGTCCTACACATTGGTAAAAAAAAATCAGCACACCAAATACAAACTAGGTGGTTATGACCTCTTTCATGACCCTCACTCTATCAAGGATCTAGGAGTACTCATATCTAATGACCTAAGGGCAGAGCTCACTGTAACAGCATTGCCAAAAGAGTTGTAAATCTAATCTTACGAAGCTTCTCCTCTGGAAATATTGAATTGCTAACTAAGGTATACAAAACCTTTGTTAGACCAATACTCAAATACAGCTCATCTGTCTGGAATCCACACTGTATATCTGACATTAATACAATTGACCAAGTCCAGAAGTATTTCACAAGAAGAGTACTACACTCCTCTGCTCACAACAGAATACCCTATATCACCAGACTTGAAGTTTTGGGCTTGGACAATCTTGAACTACGCCACCTACGGTTGGACTTAAGCGTAGTGCACAAAATTATCTGCTACAATGTCCTACCAGTCAATGACTACTTCAGCTTCAACTGCAACAATACAAGAGCACAAAACAGATACAAACTCAATGTTAACCACTCCAAACTTGATTGCAGAAAGTACAACTTCAGCAACAGAATGTTCAATGCCTGGAATGAAGTACCTGACTCTGTAGTTACATCCTCAAAACCCCACTCCTTTAACCTCAAACTATCCACTATTGACCTCACCCCATTTCTAAGAGGTCTGTAAGGGACGTGCATATGTGCACCATCGTGCCTCCTGTCCCTGTCCTATTGTCCCCATTTAATCGTAACTATTTTCTGTATTCTTACTCATGTTTATACTTATACCTATTATTTTGTAAGCGATTGACAAATCAAATAAATCAATAAATAAAATCTCACCAGAGCTTACAGAGACAGGCCATTCCACCTGGATGGCTGTGACAAAATTTATATCAACCATCCTTCCCCTTATTAAGAGTTTCGGCTGTGACCAAAGACAAAGCTAAGACCAGCTGAGTCTCATCAAACCCAGGAATTAGCAAGACAAAGTGAGTTGCCCCCACCTGGGGAATTCCAGCAGATTTTACATTGAAACATAAATCTTGGAAGAGGAAATCCACAGGGGATACATTAAGAATTATGGTTCCATTGACAATTGCAAAGAAAAGCAATTGTCCTATGCAATTATTATTAGATTTGTTTGCATACCAGAAAGGGAAAAACAGAGTTGTGTCTCTTAGTTGTAATCCACAGAGATGGACTTGAAATGATGGTGAAGTTGGATATTTGACTTAACATGAAATCGAGCCTCTGCAGACAAGATGTAGTTTCGATAGAGAAATCAGAGAAATCAGGCTCAGGGTTGAAGTAAGGGGTTCTTGGTGCTCTCTGACATTGTGTATGGTCCTGCCTTGCCACCCTTCTCAGGAAAGCAGAACTGTACAAATGAAAAGCATTTCAAAAAGAACTTTTATTGGAAGACAGTGATAGCAGAAAGAGTGTAGGCAGGATCTGAATTTCCTGCGCCAAAGCATTAGGTTAAACCGTTTTCTCTGAGCTTCTCCCAATGTCCAGTTCAACTTCGAGCCTACCCATGGGGCGAAGCTGTGAGAACATCAGGCTGAGGAGGTGATAACAGTTCCTAAGTCCCATGATCTCACTTCTCTGGTGGTGAGATAAAACAGATGGCCCGAGGCACATTCTTCCCACCCTCTCAATTTCCCCAAAAGATACATCAAAGCCACGAAAGGAAGAAAGGAAAACTCCATGTAAAAGAATCCCTGCTCTCACTAGAATGGCAGCATCCCAAAAGAGATCTATGGGACACATTGCTTGTTTTCTGGCAGACCTTTCATGACCAAACTAGGTGACCCCATCAGTTCTAGAAGAAGGGGGTCCATTCTCATTTTATATTCTAGGGCAGAGTTCCCCAATGTTTCCGGCTTTGTGGACCAGTGGGGGGAAGTAGAGAGGATGCTTTATGCAAGTGGCTGGCAAGCACATCCGCATGCCCTTATGCACACATCTCCATTGCAGAGAGTGCTGACTCCTGCATGAGGCAATCTTTGCTATGATTGGTTGCTGTGGGTGTAAAGGGGGAGTTTCCCTTTTTCCCACCTTTTTCTTCTGTGCACGCTGTACATTGTTTGTGATTTACCTCATGATGCTCTTGTTTGCCTGACAATAGAAATAGGAATAGAACTAACAGTACTAGGACTAGGACTAGGACTAGGACTAGGACTAGGACTAGGACTAGGACTAAGACTAAGACTAAGACTAAGACTAAGACTTAATAGAATAGAATAGAATAGAATAGAATAGAATAGAATAGAATAGAATAGAATATAGAATAGAGTAGAATATAGAATAGAGTAGAATTAATAGAATAGAAATAGAAATAATAGAAATAGAAATGGAAGGGAAGGGAAGGAATGAAATTAGAAATAGAAATGAATGGAACGGAATAGAACAGAATAGAAGACAGTATAGAAGATAGAATAGAAGAATGGAATAGAACAGTGATGTCAAATCTTTTTGGCACCAAGTGCCCAAACCAGAATGCATGTACATGCATGTCCATGTGCACGTGCCGGGACACCAGAAACCCAAAGACCAGCTGGCCTGTGCATGCATGCCTGTTTTGGTAGTTTTGGGGGCCATTTTCAGGCCATTTTTCAGGCCGTTTTCAGGTCATTTTCTGGCACTCTGGCTCCCACAAACTCCAGCTGGATGGCATGCATGTGCACACCAGAAACCAGGAGAGCAACTGGCAACCACAAATGTGCTCACAGAGAGGGGTCTGCATACGTGCCATAGGTTCGCCATCACCGGAATAGAATATAGAATAGAATAGAATTAATAGAGCAGAAATAGATATAATAGAAATAGAAAGGAATGAAATATAAATATAAATAAAAATGAGTGGAGTGGAGTAGAGTGGAGTGGAGTAGAGTAGAGTAGAATACAATACTTGAAAGAGACTTTGTAGGTCATCTAGTTCAACCCTCTGCCCAAGCAGGAGACCCTACACCATTTTTGACAGATGGCAGACCAGTCTCTTCTTGAAAGTTTCCAGTGATGAAGCTCCCACAACATCTGAAGGCAACTTCCGTTCCATTGGTTGATTGTTCTCATTGTCAGGAAATTCCTCCTTATTTCTTTTTTTTTTCTTTTAATAAAGTTTTATTTGGGTTTTCACACACAAAATACAAGTAAAACATCTTTTTTGGAAATAGCATGGTCCCGGGTTGAACTTCTTTATACAGGCACAAAACTCAATTGCATGCTCCTTTTTGTATTCTATTCCATATCTTATACCATTTTACATTTTCTATATGGTTTTTCCCCTCTTTTAATTTTCTCAATTTTATTTTGATTATCTAATCTCAATTCAAATCATTATATTTATACTTTTGTCTGTTCTGTTTCAATTTCATATTATCTTTTCTCATTAAACAAATTTTCTCCTGTAGTTACTAATTGGAGTATGATACCTTTATATCTTTTAATTACATCCATTCAACTCTTATTTAAACTTCAATATATACCTTAAGTTTGGACTTCCAGTTTGAGCTTCTTCAGCGACAGACCGAAACCTCGGTCTGTGGCTCTCCTCAACCCTGCTGGCAGTCTCCCCCCTCTTCACCACCTCTACGGGGTGACTTAGCCCCAAAACCAGCCGGCTTGGGACGCTCCAGCAGCGAGCACGGATCAAAGCCTCGCAGAGATGAGGTTTTGGTCTGTCGCTGAAGAAGCTCAAACCGGAAGTCGAAATTCCTCCTTATTTCTATGTTGAATCTTTCCATCCATTATTCCTTGTCTGGCCTTCGGGTGCTTTGGAAAATAGCTTGACCACCTCCTCTTTGTGACAGCCCTGCCCGCTGTGAATACAAATGTTAAACATATTAATTTATATAAAATGACAGGTTTGTGTCAGTATCTATGACTTTATTTGGATACCTACTGTGCAATTCCTTGACAATGGTGCTGTTTTGTTTTGTGTGTGTTTTTGTTTTGCCTTCTGGTCCACTTCATCCACATCCTCTTCTTCATCCACATCGTCTTCCTCGCTGCTTTCTGAGTCGCTCCGTGCATCTTTTTCCAACTACAACAGAGAAACAGAGATGTCACCTCTCTTCAATCCTGCTTAGTTGGAGTCCATCAGAGGGCAAAAACCCTTTTGGGGACACACAACTGGCCTTTTTCATCGGAGATGCTTATCTTTTGTACAACTCAAGGGACATGCTATGTTTTGCATGGCATACAGGCAAGCCCATGGCTCTTTAGAAGAAGGGGCTTCAAAATGTTAAAGAGGCCATTTTAATGGCAACTTCGTATAAAGAAAACATATATAAAATGTTTTATAGATGGCACTGACCACTGGTAAAATGTTTAAAAATATGTCTAGCAAATGTTGAAAATGGAATAAAAAAACGGGCACATATTATCATATGCGGTGGACTTGTGGTAAAGCAAAAAACAATGGGGAAAAATACATAAATGGTTAGAAAAGATGATTGGAAATTATTTAGATTTTAAACCTGAACTATTTTAATGAGGTATAACTTCAGATAAACTTAATAAAAAAGTATGTATTTAATATTGCACGTCTTGACAGCAGTGAGGATTATATTTGCTCAATGCTGGAAAAATGAAGATACACCACAAGATGAAGAAATAATTAAGAAGATACTAGAATGTGCAGAAATGGACAGACTGACATTAAAAATGAAACAGAAATAATTTACAGAATATTATCAAACACAGAATTTATTTTATCAGTGGTTGGAAAAAAGAGGTGGAGATTAAGAATGTAATATGTATTGTTAAGCAAACTGAATACCCAGACAACACAATGTATATTAAGCATTAAGTAATGTAATTGATGGGCTTCCGGTTTTGCGTGGCTTCGGCGGCGGCAGGAATTCGTGACTCTCCGCGATTCCTGCTGCGCTCGCCGCCAAGGTGCCCCCGATCTAAATGGGTCTGGGGGATATGGCTGCCCTGTAGAGGCAGCCGAAGAGAGAGGGGATCCGGACAGGGGTTTGGGGGTGTCGCAGACCCCCTCCCCAGCAGGAAAACCCCCTTTTTCCCAAGGTGGTGGAGCGGCGGTCAGTAATGGCCGCCAAAAAGAAGCCTGCAGCCGGGTAAGATTTGTGCTGGAGGAAGCAGGAGAAAGTGAAAGTGCTGGCTTAACTGGGACAATAAGAAGCTCTTAAATACCCTGGAAACTGAATTGCTTGAATTGCTTGAAGGATACATTGTTTCCCAAAGAAGATTTGAAAGCGGCGAAGAAAGCTGTCAAGGGAAAGTTTTTTTTCTTCACTCTCCCTTCCCATAGAAATAGCAGATGAAGATCTGGAAAATCTACTTGGGCACCGAAGGTAATTCAATTTGAAATTTAAAGCCAAGGGATAAAGGATTTCTGGACATTGGATTTAAAAACTTAAAACTCTTTCTATTTGTTACAAGGGGAAGGGAAGAGATAAAGACTTATTATAAGACTGTACTGAAGGAGACTGCTTTCAGCCTATAAGAACAGGAATAAAAGGCATTAAGACTTCTAGAAGATCATCTTGGAACTGTGTATTTGAATTCTACCCTAGGAGGTGAAAATATAGAAAGAAGAAAGTGCTAAATGAAACTGTTTGTTCTGATTTGGTTTGCTTTGTGACTTTGGGATTTCTGTGAATTTTTTCTTTTTTTAAAAAAAAAGTGACTAAAGACATTAGGGTCGCTTCAAAAAAGAAAGAAAAAAAATGGCATTATCTTTTGAAGGACTACAAATGGAATTTCAAAGACTGAAAGAAGAAGATAAGGGCTCTTCTGGATCTATTTTTCACTTTTTAGAAATGGCGATCTCTACCTATCAAGAAATACGACAACGACAGGAAGGCTGGGAGGAAGGAGAAGAAGCCATCTTTAATGGACAAACACATTTAGTTGAGGAAGAAAAGCGGAAGGGGGGCAAGGAAAAGGTGAACTTAGAACCTAAAAAAGCAACCAAGAAAAAGAAAAATGAGATGAAAAAGCGATATGATGTCAGAAAGCAACAGAAAAGAGAAATACAACAGAGAGGGAAGACTAAGAGAGTGAAATTTGAGAGATGGGGGGGTCAAAAAGCTAGAATGGATAAGAAAGGAAGGGAAAAAGGAAAGAGAAGTCATAAAGGCTTTAAACAAGATGCTAAAAAATGATTTTTTTTCAGAGATAAGGGGTAAGATAATTTTATAAAAATGATTCTGCAAAAGTACATAAGAATGTATTGTAGACATTAGTATTTGAAGCTGAGTTAGAAAATCAAAATATTATATTAGTTAAAAATGTATTAAAGGGAAGCCATGATTTAACTATAGAGTTTAATTTCTTATGAAATATTGTTTTTATTGTTTAAGAATTAATAATAGAATCTAATTTTCTATGAAATATTGTTCTTATTATATTATAAATTTAATATTCCTTTTTCATTTTTCTTAGTTTTATTATTACTTATTAAATTCAATATTATTTGTTTGTTTTATTATTTTGAAATGTAATACTTAGAATGTACGGAGCAGAATCAGTACGGAAAATATGTATTATTTTAAGTGTTATTTAGGGGAAAGATAAAAAGTTGTCATACTTCAATCTGTGTTTACAGGAGAAATATTGTATTAGATAGAAAGGATAAATAGGTGATTGAAAGAAAACAGACCAAAGATGCAAATATAATTATTTAAATTGAGATGGAATAAATAAAATAGAATTAAAAGAATGAGTAGGAGAGAGAAAATGTATGGAAAATAGAGAATGTTAAATAAGATATGAGATAGTATATTAAGTGAGTATAAACTTTGATTGATGTCTGTATAAAAAGAGTTAACCCGGGGTAAGCCGCTTTCCAAAAAGAAGTTTTATGTTTTGTGTAATGTTTGTTTAAGTTTGACAGGATGTGGAAGAGCACTAATATAACTACAAGGTAGAAGAAATATGACTAAATAGAAGGAAAGGGAGTAATAAAGAGAAGTTTGGAAAAGATATGAAGTTGATTAGATAAGATAAATATATTAAATTATAGAAATGTGATAATTTGGAATTATCTCCTTTTTAAATAAGATGGTTTATTTGCTTCTTTTAGAAAGGATATCTAATGTTACTACATCCTATGTTCTGTCTGTTTGTGTATTATATTTTTTTTAAAAAAAACTAATAAAGTTTGTCCAAAAAAAGAGAGAAAGAAATGTAATTGATAAAAAAAATTAATTTAAATGTTTGAGAGGCATGGGGGCTTGAATTCCCTGCAAGCTTGAGATATCCACGTTACCTCTGGTATCTCTTTAAAAACCAAATCCATGGTCTTTCTCCTCTCCTGATGCTCTGGGATTGAGGGGGTTGCAGTTGGACTCCCACTAGAACACAGCCAGTGTCTCGATTGTACATTTTGGGGGCCCATTTTTTATCATGAAAATGAAGGTGGGTGGCCCACCATAACAAATTGCCACAGGGACCTGAAATTGAGATGCTGCAGCATAGAGTCTTTTCGGTGACCCTGAAAACTTTCTGAAGAGTTTTAGTGTGCCTGCTTGGCTGTTGTAGATGGGAGGGTAGCAGGATCCCTTATTTTAATATTTAATATTCCTCCCCCCACCCACCCAAAAAAACCCCCTGGGGTTTAGGATTTTCAGGTTGTGTCCAGTGGTGACAATGGGGCACCCTATAGACTGGGTGTTGCAATGGTTTTGATCCAGGGATGGTATTCAGGGAGTTTGGACCGGTTTGGGTGAAAGTCTAGGGAAAAATGTAAGTGGTTCATAGAACCGGTAGGGAAAATTGTGACTGGCCCCGCCCACTCAGCCCTGCTCTTACCTCTCACCTCTCCTTTATTCTGTTGTTTATTAGCTCAGCTTATTTGCCAGAATGCAAAAGGGGGCTGCTGTGAATTGTTTAATGGACTGGTAATTGGCAAAATGGACTGCTAAATTGGGCCACACCCACCCAGTCACACGACCAATAAGCCACACCCAGCAAGCCACACCCACAGAACCAGTAGTAAAAAAAATTGAATCCCACCACTGTTTTGATCCCATGTCCTTTCCCACTGCCATTATAAGGCCACCGTTTAGGAATATGTGGTAATGTAAGTGTTTGTGTCTAAAAGTCTATTTTGACTAGGGAGCATGGTTGAGCATATGTGGTTTCTTCCATTCCAATTCTCACCCGCCTATCACAGATACGAACAGAGCCCAGGAATCTTGTATCAGACTCAACATGGAATAAAAACAAATGTGAAGCAGGGTTAAACGAAAGTACCATATTTTTTGGACTATAAGACACACTGGACCATAGGACACATGTAGGTTTAGAGGAGGAAAACAATAGTGTTTTGCCTCTGTGGGTCCCATTTTTGCCCTCCCCAGTGTCAGGGAGGCTGAAAAATGGGGTGCATGGAGGGCTTGGAAGGCCAAAAATGGGCCCGTTTTTGGACGCCGGGGATACCCGGAGGTGATTGCACAGACATTTCCACCCACCTTTTTGGGGCGGAAGTGCATCTTAAAATCCGAAAAATATCGTAATTGGTGGTCTTCTCCCTCCACCCCAACATGTGCCTTCTGTTCCCATGTGCCCAATTCATGAGTGCCCGATTTCTGCCCATACCTTGCCATGTATCAGGAACCTATAAAGCATGAGGATGATCACGCAGGACCAGAGAACATTGAGAACATACACGAGCATCAGGAGGGCATTGAAGAAGTAGTAGCCAAAATAAGGCTCATGGGCCTCTGCCAAATGGTAAAATGTGCTGTAGAGAATCCTTGAGGAGGGAGAGGGGATGGAAAAAGAAAGAGGAAAATGGGTTATCTTCGCAGTACTTTTCAAGGCTGAGATAATCAATTGTGTTAGGAATTCAGGATATCCATTAGAGCTTCAAAACAAGAACAGATGATCTGAAGGGCTTTAGCCAAAATTGATGAAAAAGGAAGTATTTTAATAGAGAATAACAGTGATTTAGAATGCAATGGAATGGAAGGGAAGGGAAGGGAAGAGAAGGGAAGAGTTGGAAGGGACCTTCTAGTCCAACCTCCTGCTTAGGCACGAAATGGATGTAGCCTTCCAACTCTGGAAGTTTGATGGGTTCCATGCAGGTTGAAACTTCTACTTGTTCATAGCAGTTACAAGCTGAGATAGAACATAGAATAATAGGCTTGGAAGGCATCTTGGAGGTCATCTAGCCCAGCCTCTGCTTGAGCAGGGGATTCTATACCATTTCAGACTTTCAGACAAATGGCCACCCAGTCTCTTCTTGAAAGCCTCCAGTGATGGAGCACCCACAACTTCTGACAGCAAGCTATTCCACCAGTTGATTGCTTTCACTGTTAGGAAAGTTCTCCTTAGTTCTATGAATGCTTGTCTCCTTAGTTAGTTTCCATCCATTGTTTCTTGCCTTGCCTTTTGGTGCTTTGGAAAATAGTTTGACACCCCACCCATCTTTGTAGGAACCCAGGGGTGGGATTCTACCGGTTTGCACTGGTTCGGTAGAACTGGTTGTTATTGTTTCTGGTAGTTTGGAGAACCAGTAAATCGGGCCTATGGCTGGCCCCACCCCTCTCCACCCGCTTCCCCATTCCCTGCCTGGTCAGTCCCTTTCACACATGTACAACATTGTGCACCTGCGTGACATGCCTGCAGCCTGCTTCTGCCCGCCCACCAGGGCAGCCATTGCTGCCTGCCTTTCACTGCAACATAACCTTCACTGATCTGCCGGCTCACAGATAAGCCTGTGAGTCACGCTGGCCCTTCCCACACTGTCCCCAGGCCTCCCCAAGCCTCCTGCAGCTGTCTCCAGGGCTCTCCAGGACTCCCAAGGCCATCTCCAGGGCTCCTCGGGACTCCTGCGGCCATCTCCAGGGCTTTCCGGGTGTTACCCAGCCTACCTACCTGTCCCACCCATTCCCAGCCTCAGCTGGCTGGCTAAGCCTCCATGTGGCACTCTCCCAGATCTCCTTACCACATGGAGGCTGCGGTGCACATGGAGGTCTGGTTCCTTTGAGAGGATTGGGGTGGGGGTGCTCAAGGCTCTCTGCCACCATTGCCGCTGGCGGTGGCACTGGATGAAATGAGCAGCTCCAGGAGTTTCCACCCTCCCTTTCACAGTGCCTCCGCCACCCAGGAGAAGCAAGCAGCAGCAGAGCGGCTCCAAAAGGGAGGACGGGAACTCCCGGGGCTGCTCACTTTCTTCTTCTCCTGCTGCCTCCTTGCTTCCCATAGCTGCCACCTCCACCCAGCACCTCCAGATGAAGCAGGCAGCCCCGTGAGTTCCTGCCCTCCCTTTCGGAGCCCCTCCACCACCCAGGAGAAGCAAGCAGCAGTGGAGGGGATCCAAAAGGGAGGACGGGAACTTCCAGGGCTGTTTGCTTTCTTCTTCTCCCGCCACCCACATGTGTGTGTGTGTGTGTGAGAGAGAGAGAGAGAGAGAGAGACAGAGAGAGAGAGAGAGAGAGAGAGAGACAGAGAGAGAGAGAGAGAGAGAGAGAAGGAAGGAAGGAAGGGCAAGAAAGAGGAAGGGAGAGAAAGATAGAGAAAAAGAAAGAGCAAGAAAGAAAGAGGAAAGGAGAGAGAGAAAGAAAGAGCAAGAGAGAAAGAAAAAGGGAGAGAGAAAGGAAGGGACAGAAAAAGAAAGAAAGAGAGGGAGGGAAGAGAAAGAAAGAGAAAGAGAGGGGGCAGAGAAAAAGAGACAGATGGAAAGAGAAGGGGAGAAAGAGAGAGGGGGAAGAGAGAGGGGGAAAGAGAGAATCCCACCCCTGAATACTTCTGCCCTGATTGTTTTTAATTTAAACAGTTAAAATGTTGTTGAGCAAGTCATCAGCCCTTAGCATCATCCACAAGAAAAACCTTTGAATACTATTTCAGTCACATAAGTGTTTGTAGGAAAAACAATATAAAATGTATAGCTGCAATTCAGAACTTTTTTTGGAAATATTTCTGTTTTGTGTAACAAAACAAAAAGGGGATGGAAGAAGGTTAATGGTAGGCAAATGGGACAATTTGGTACAATGCTAGCAGTTTGGATTCTGTAGATATTTTGTGACTCCCACCCACCTAGCCATTTTAGTACAAATTGTTGTGACAGAACATATTGTGCAGTTGCATAAGTCACAGGGTTTGTGTCATGATGTTTTAATTCTTGTTTCATCATTTGCCTCATCCCCTAGTTGCTTATGCTTATCCCTGCCATTTTATGAGAATATTTATGACATGTTCCATAGCTTTGCCTGTTCTGACATAGATAAATATGTATTATTTTTGGAGTAAGGATAGGATAAATGAAATATAAATTTAGAAGGAACTCCATTTAATATGCAAGAGTTTATTTCTGAAGGTAGTGTTAACCTATAAGAATAATATTACAAGGTATCCTGACTGGAAAAACACTACAGTGATTTTAGCATATTCTTAAAAATATAAATACTGGTTTATATGACTATACAAAAAACATATAGGAGTCATGAAGAATTCATATTGTATACTATAATAAATAATGTGTTTGATCTTTTAGAATAGTGATAGTCAGCCTGTGATAACTCTACATGTTACTCCCAGTACCCCTCACCAGTAGTCTGGTGTCCTGGTGTCCTGGGAATTACAGTTGAGCAACATATGAATGCCACAGGATTCAAATTCCTCTTATATTACTTGGTGGTGTTTTATTCAAATTACTAGATTAAAACGGTTATATAAGAATTGGAGGAACAAAAGTATGCTTTTCTTTTAAAGGGTGAGTTATTACAGAGGTCAGTACCCTGTTTGTGGAACTCTTTGCTAGGTGCACCATTCCAAACCAACCTGGAATGTGAATCTTACTTCCCTGGTTTGCATGAATATTTTGCCCTATAAACTAAGAGAGAAATCAAGGGAGTCAGGGGAGAAGAAATCTCATCCTGGAATAGTTGACTCCCATAGGGTTTGGGGAAGCTTGTTTCAGTCCTTAATACTGTGTGTGTTTGTTCTAGTTGCTGTTTACACAAGCTTGGAATCTCCCCACCCACTCACTCCTTACCTGGCAAACTTGCCTGCTAAGTTGCTGTTTTTCCTTTTTCCGACCATCAGCTGTTCTGCTGTGCCAGGAAATTTAGATGCTAGAAATCAGGAAATGGTTGGATTTCTTGCTTTCTAGCTAATCTTTAGATCTTCGGCTCTGCTTTTAAGCAGAGCCGAACCTTCCTTAGCATTGAAGCAGTGCAGACTCAGCTAGCCGATGGCAGAAACACAGAAATACAACTTCAGCAACAGAGTGGTCAATGTCTGGAATACTCTACCTGACTCTGTGGTTTCTTCCCCAAACCCCAAAAACTTTAACCTTAGACTTTCTACTATTGACCTCACCCCTTTCCTATGAGGTCTGTAGGGGGCGTGCATAAGCACACCAAAGCACCTACCATCCCTGTCCTATTGTTTCTTTTATTTTTATTTTTCTTATATGTATCCATGTATTCATAACTATGTTTTTACTTATACCTATTATCTTGTAAGCAATTGACAAAAATAAATAAAAAATAAAAAAAATAAAATCTCTAAGTGAAGCTGTGATTCTGTGAGCAACTCAATCTGCCTGCCTGCTTTGCCTGATTTTGAGTAAAAGTTACTCTTTTTTATATAAATAATTCAATATTTACATACATGATGTGTTGTGAGTTAATTTTGTGAGTTTGCTTTCTAGCAAAGCTTATAGGTTTGCTTGCAAGCAAATTTTATGTGACAGACTCAGGTAGTTGATCTCATAGATCTCTGAATGAATCTGTGATTCTGTGAGCAACTCAATCTATCTGCCTGCTTTGCCTGATTTTGAGTAAAAGTTGCTCTTTTTTATAAAAAATTCAATATTAATATAAATATTTATAATATTTACATACAAGCCATGCCCAGCCAGTCACATGACCACCAAGCCACACCCACAAATTAGGCCATGCCCACAGAACCGGTTGTTAAGAAATTTGAATCCCACCCCTGCAGAAGCCCCTCAAATATTGGAAGACTGGATATTGGAAGGACCCTTAGTCCTTCTTTTCTCTAGACTAGACATATCCAATTTCTGCAACTGTTCTTCATATGTTTTAACTTCCAGCCCCCTAGTCATCTTTGTTTCTCTTCTCTGCACTCTTTCCAGAGTCTCAACATCTTCTTTGTTATATTGTGGTGACCCAAACTGGATGCAGAATTCCAATTATGGCTGTAATAAGGCTTTATAAAGTGGTTCTAACAAAGCCTTACTACGGCCACACTTGGAATCCTGCATCCAGTTTTGGTCATCACAATATGAAAAAAAAAACACCAGGTTCCCAAAGATGTGAGGAGAAATGTCACAAAAAGATGGCACTGCAATTGTGCTGTCAAATTCCCGCCCTTTTTGCATGCATTCCCGAAACATACTTGTAAGGAAAAACGATGGCACGATTAAAGAGGAATACCACTGAGAAAATGATAAAGAGTGTGTTGCAGGTTTTCTGCCACTTCAGGTATTTAAACACCTTTGCAGCCTGGGGAAAAAGAGAGAAAAAGAAACAGTAACTGTTGATATCTATGGAGATTCTCAGTCATCCAGGTCATGGCTGTCCCAAAAGTTTTTGTTTTTTTCAAGAGGCAACTGGACTTTCCGGTTTTCCTTGGAAGATGTTTCACTTCTCATCCAAGAAGCTTCTTCAGCTCTGACTGGATGGTCAGGAATGGAAGGATTTATACTCCTTGCAGACAGCTGGTCATTTGCATCCTTTTAGCAAGTTGTTGAGGCTCCTTAGAGGTTGAGCCACTTGGCTGAAGCCAAGAAAGCTCCACATATATTTGGATTACTCAGGTGACCCTGAGGACACAGAAAAACATCCAGGTGGGCTTAATGGCTCACAAAAATAATGCAAATGACCAGCTGTCTGCAAGGAATATAAATGCTTCCATTCCCCATTCCTCTTGAAAAAGCACCTTTGGGACAGAAATTGTTGAGTGGCTGAGGCTCCTGCTGTGAGAACACTTGACTTTCAGAATATGATGGCACATTTCTGTGAGTTTAAGCTGCAGGACCTGTATTCTATCTCCCACTGGGATCCTGGAAATTGTAGTTTGCAAAATACAAAAATGAGAAACCTGGACCAGTTTGCAAGCAAAGCCAGATGGGGATATCTTAGTCACCCACAAGTGAGGGTTGGCTCATTTCCAAACATTTTGTGTTGAACACAGAACAAACGTGCTTTCAAACTTATAACTGGATATCTAAAATTTAAAACAATTTCAGCCCCAATTTTTTTCAGGCTGCTTCTTTTTCTGAATTATTATTTTTTCAACCTTCAAACAAGCTTTTCAGATTGGGACTATGACATCAATTATTTAGCTGATCCCAACACATCTGGCAGACCGCAAGCAAGAGAAGGCTGGTATAAATTTCTAGATTTATTTCTTCTTTCCCAAAAAAATTGGACGAGGTTTTTTTTTTCAAAAAGAAAGAAAGGGGAAGAAAGTATTCATTTTTTTGTATCTTAGGCAAGAGGAAGAGTGTTCCTGAACTTTAACTTACATACATCGGAGTATCGGGAGCATCTTGTAGGATCATGACAAGTGAACCAATAGGGATGAAATTGACGCAATAGGAGAAGCCAATGAGCAACATGCTGATCACATGGTGGACAATCATCATATTAAAGTCCTGCAGGAAGAGGAGATAACTGGGTTATTGATTTTGTAGCTCCTTCAGGGGGCCCATACATCCCATTATAGGGAAGGGGTTTGAGTGGAAGTAGACAACATTGAGTTCTGCTGAGTCATTGTTTCAGAAATATTTCCTTACCTTTGAGAATCTTGTGAAAAATATTGGAAATCCATCCTCCCTTCCCTTATCTTCCCTACCCTTCCCCCTTCCCCTTCCCAGCAAACAGGTATATGGCTGCTGCTGGGTGGAGGAATGTAGCAAGGGATTGTGAGACTGGCTGGGAAACTGTCACACAAAATTGAAAAGGAAGATCATATACTCTCATTAACAGCACAGCAGTGCAGCAGCAGCCAGGAGCTCTAAAGCAGGCAGAAGTTCATTGCTTCCAGATTTTGGGTGCATTCCATATGTTAGCCCATTTGAGGTACCCCAGTTCAAAAATTGTTGCCCTATGATGTACTTAAAGGTCATACTGACAATAACTTTTGTAGCATATAGTTTTGCATCTTAAGATACACCAAACTAGCACCTTTGTTTTGTTTTTGTTTTACTTTTCCTCTTCATTTGATTAGTTGTGGAGTTTTCAAGTGAACGACCTGAGTTGCACTGGCCAGATGGGCTGCCACATAAATTAACCAAAAGGCATAAATGCTGGTACTGCACCAAAAGGAAGAGACACATTTCCTTCTGGAATTTGAATGGAGTTTTCCGACCAGCTGGACCACATTTCTACTGCCAGAGCTCACTCACCTTCTGTTTGACGTCAAAAGGCATTGAGATAACTAAGGTCAAATACAAGGAGAATTGCAAGAGGTAGTATCCATAAAGGCTCAGATGGAGAGGCTGCAAAGCATAAATGAAGATAAATGGTGTCATGTAATCCCAATTCTCAGCTTCCGAAGTGAAGACAATATCCAGTACTGTGTTCGTGGTGGTTGGAGCATTCTAGGAGTTGAAGTCCACATGTCTTAACGTTGTCAAGTTTGAGAAATACTGTGCTAGAGAGCCCCCATGTGCAAGGGGCTTCTCTTAACATTTCATGTCTGAAAAGGATCTTTCTAGACCCATTTTTTTTGTCCTGCCCTCAGGTGTTGCAGAGAATAAATCTACACTGTGATGACCCTTCTAGTCCTGGTAGACCGTTTTCAAGTCTCCCATCAGCATTCTCTTCATTAGCTAAACCAGGGGTGTCAAACTCAAGGCCCACGGGGTGAATCTGACCCATGGGTTGCTTTGATCTGGCTTACAGGGCCGCCCTGAAAAAAGTGAAGGACTGGCCCATGGTGCCTCTGCCAGTGAAAATGGAGCTGGGAGGGCTCTCACTAGCTACATTTCCAATGGCAAAGGGTTGTAGGAGGCCATTGCAGTTGGATACAGAGCTCAGGAGGGCCACCACTAGCTCTGGTTTTGGTGGCAGAGGGTTGCAGGAGGCTGTTACAGCTGGAAATAGAGCTTGAGGGCTGTTTTTTCTGACAGAGTGCTCTGGCCATCACAGGCAATCCCAACATGAGTGACGTTAAGCTGGTCACGCCTACCCCAGCCTCCAAGACCACACATACCCCTGATGTGGCCCAGAATGTAATCAAGTTTGACACCTTTGGGCTAAACATATATAAGGTAGTTCCATTAGTCATGCAATTTATCCTCTGGACGCCATATCATATTTGTTACTCTTCACTCACTTTTTCTAGGGCCACAACATCTTTTTTAGCATCATGGTAATCAGAATTGGACATGGTATCTCAAGTGTTAGCAATTCCCCCCATCTTAGTGTCATTCACAAATTTGATGAACACCCCTTCCATATCTTCATCTAGGTCATTGATGAAGAAGTTGAAGAGCACTGGGACCAAGACAATATTTTGAGGTGCCACCACTGCATGGTTCTCTCTATCTAGACATTGTTCCATTGTGGACCACTTGCTGAGTGTGGTTGGTCAGCCAACTGCAAATCCATCTGGTAGTGATACTGTCTATCCCACATTGTTCTACCTTAACAAGGAGGAGATGATACTACATTAGAATAACAGAGTTGGAAGGGACCTTGGAGTCTTCTAGTCCAACCCTCTGCTTAGGCAGGAAACCCTATACCATTTTAGACAAATGGTTATCTAATCTCTTCTAAAAAAACTTCCAGTGTTGGAACATTCACAACTTCTGGAGGCAAGTTGTTCCACTGATTAATTGTTCTAACTGTCAGGACATTTCTTCTTAGTTCATTCTGTCTCTCAATTTGTAAGAGAATTCTTTGTTCAATCATGGTGATATCATTTTGAGCTTCTTGTTTCTCTTTCTCTGTGGCATTGGTTTTGTTTGGGCTTTTTTACCTTGTTTTTCTAAATTTTTCAAGCACCATGAATTGGTTTTCACTCTATAATTTCCATCCATGGAATCCTTCCTCTTATCTTTCTTAGTTTGTTAAAATCAGCTCAATAGTCTTTGTTCTATTACTTGTGCCTGCATTATCATTCCTATTCATTTTAATTAAGTCCAAGATAGCTGTCACTCTAGTTCCCTCCTCCATCTTTTGGATGATAAATTTGTCAGCTAGGAAAGTCAGAAAAGTCCAATGATTTTGCCCAGGACATGCTGATGATTTCCTTATACTTGGCTTCATGTGGTATTTCTTATCGCTGCTTAATCACTTCCCTTTCAGCTGCAAGAACAGGAAAGAATTGAATTCCTAAAGCTTGGATGAATGTCATGTTTGGAAAGTCAAGGTGGGATGGATTGCACTTTCATATTATTTTTGCAAAAGGGATTAGTAACTGATGCACATTTTCCACTTGAAATGTTAATTTGAATGTCTCCTGATAACTTACCTTCAGTGGGTACCCAACCCAACATTCGCGGATGTTCCAGAACCAGGGTTTCTGCAAGGAGACACCATTCATTAAGAATTGCATCATACCAGCCCACCAACACTTCTTTAAACCTGACATGAAGGGGACAATGGAATAGAAAGGAGACCACAAAGCAACTGTAGTCACTAAGATATTGGAAAGAATTGAAAAATGGACCCTTTTTTGCTGATCAAAAATGTTTCATTAAATGTTAGGAGGTGGGAGGCAGAGAAGGTCACAACCTGTATTACATATGACTAGGGTTTTTTTTTTTTACAATGACCAACAGAAGTAGAGAAAGTTGGCACTCACATCGTAAAGGACAGCCAATCCCATGAGGATGAAAATGAGGGAGTGCACAGTTCTCCAGCTGGAAAACAGTAAGAAAAAATGCATCAGGGAACTGGAAAACAGGCTGGGAGATCCAGAGCTTCTAGTGCTAGAAGGGAATTCAAAGTCGAGTTTAAAGAGGATTGTTCCAACAGCCCTCACTTCCACCTTCTGGAGCAAACAATAACATTTCCACCCTTTAATCATTCTTCTACTTGAACCCCTTGGTCCAGATTCTGATCTCTAGAACAGTTGAATAGATCTCTTCCCTTCCCTGAATGTGTTCTGTAAATACTGAAAATAAAGATTTTGTCAAGTTGAGCTCAATTTCTGGTTATATCATAGAGGCATCTATGTATCTTTTATTTTTTTGGCCAGCACTCCTCTTTCCTGAGATGTTTCCCCATTTCCAGTTATGCTTAACACTGGGATTTTCTCTCCTGCAAATATTTGACTCTGTTTAGCTTCTCCATCCATATCTGAATGGAGAAAGAATACTAATTTGGTTCTGGATCACAGAAGGGACATGACTGTCTATCCACCAAATGATTGCCCTACTTTGCATCACCAGTCACAAATACCCAACATATGTCTATGGAGATTCTCAATCATCCAGGTAATGGTCGTCCCAAAGGTGCTTTTTTTCAAAAGGTAATTGGACTTTCTCGTTTTTCTTTGAAGTCGTTTTTGCTTTTCATCCAAGAAGCTTCTTCAGCTCTGACTGGATGGTGGAGAATAAAAGGATTTATACTCCTTGCAGACAGCTGGTCATTTGCATCCTTTTAGTAACTCCTTAAGCCCACCTTATCTGTGCTTTACTGAGGTCCTAGCATACTATGCCCACAGCATTTTTCTGGTCCACTAATTTAGTCATTTTATCAAATGCAATAAGATTTGTTTGGCATAATATGTTTTTGACAAACACATTTTGGCATCTAGTTATAATTTGGCTTGCCTCTAGGTGTTCCCTGATTCATTGCTTGACAATCTTTTCCAGGATCTTCACAGGTATCAATGGCAGGCTGATAGGTCTGTAATTTTCTGGATCCATTTTTTCTCCTTTTTTGAAGATGGGAACTTCATCAGCACTTTTCTAGTCCTTTGGTAATTCCCCAATGCTCCAGGATCTTTGAAGATATAGTTCAGTGATTCTGAGATCACATCTTCCAGCTCCTTCAGAATTCTGGGTGGTAAACCATCTGGTCCTGGTGATTTGAACTCATCTAGGGTGGACAGGTGTTTCTTACCATTTCTTACCTGTTTGGCCATGTACTACTAGTCTGTTTTTATGGTTCTACTTTTGGTAAGTTGGTAAAAGGTGCAAAGAATGAATTACTTTTGGTAAGTTTTGGTAAAAGGTGCAAAGAATGAATTAAGCAGTTCCACTTTATGTCTACTGCCATTCACTTCCTTGCCATCTTCTCCCATCTTCCCTCTGCTCCAAAGTTTTCTGAAAGAATCCAACTACACAGGGGATTGATTGGTTTCAAAGATTTTCCCTTCCCCAATGAACTTTCTTCAAGCTTAGAAACCCATTCTTAAGTATAGAAACTTTGAGAGAAGCATCCTTGACCAATTAATATGTATATTCCTACTGGACATCCAACGCAAATATCCTTCATAAATCATTCAGAATCTTCTTGTATAGTCATCAGTGACAAAGATCCTGTTCGGCACTAAGAGATGCTCTGGTCCACATGGACCGCACATGAATTGCTCTGCCCCAAGAGTTTCCACTCACCTGGCTTCACAGAATTTCTTGGTTAAGCTGGGCCGGTTCTGATTCAGCCTGTATCGGAACCACCTCTCTACCTGTCTTGGTTGGAGGTCGCACTGTTTGGCTAAGCCACTGACTTCTTCCTGAATGGCAGGAGACAGAACCAGGTAAGAAAAGCTGCACAGGTGCTACAGGAGTCCGTGACAAAAAATCATAATGAGATAAGGAAAGTGAGATAAGGAAAGATATGGGGAAAACGAGAAATGATACAGGAGAGATGAAAGAAAAAAATTAAAATATGGATAAAAAACTTGAAAGTTCCTAACAAATAATAACAAAAAATGAGCAAAGAATCCAGAAAATGGAGGAAAATCAGAACAAGCAGAGGAAAAAGTGGATGATATAAATTATAAATTGTCACAAGCAAACAAAGAGCTAGGAAACACTGTGATACTGTTAGAAACAGAAAAAGCTACTTGTTACCTGAGATTCCAGAATATAGAAGAGAAGGGGGAAGAAATGCAACAGACTCCAATTTTTAATTTTTCCTCAATTTCTCTGTGCTATGAATACACATGCAGGATATGGTGGGGGGAGAGAAAAACAGAGAGCCCTCCCACTCCTGATCTTTCAGAAAAGTGTGAAGACCTGGCTCTGCCAACTTGTATAGGGCTTGCAGTGTGCTATGCATCCTGGGAGTGATGAATATCTTAAAGGCTCTCCAGCTACCTTTTCATTTTTTACTTTATTCTATCTTTGTATTAGACTGCCATTTCACTGATGTATTTTATTTTCGTATGAAGTTTATGTCAACTCACGAAGCATTCCTGCCCTGCTCTCCCCATCCCCAGGGGGATGGGGAATTGAAACTGCATCAAGGAACTTTCATTTCAGTCAAAACAAAGCACATTCCAGCTGATAGCATCAAGGTCATCTCCAAGGAGACCCACAGTGGTCAGACAGAGTGACTTCTACAACCCGCAAAATTGTTTTGTTGGGGAATGTGACTTATGATGCATCTTGGGGGGAGGGGAAAATAGGATCAGAGCCAAAGCACGAATTAAGTGAGATCAGAGTTGGCTTCATTTGGTCTCTGCCACCCTGAAGCTTCCAATAAATACCTGGATTTCTTTTGATGCTTGGCCTGAGGCTCAATTAGGGCATTGGTGGGAACCCTGACAGTTTATCCTTTGAGCTGCAAACTGCCCATTGTCCCTCTGAGAGTGAGATGAGTAGATATCTACCTGCAAACCTGTGGAGAAGAAACTCACCTTTTGGGGATTTTTCCTCCACTTTGTGTAAAAAGCTTCCAAGATCGGGTTTGGAGAAGGTTTCCACCTCACTTTTTCTTGCAAACCCAGTTTTTTGCTCAAGGGGATGGCGATTTTCCTGGAAAAGGCAACAGCTTCAGTCAGACAAATGAACACTGGTTAAAAGTAAGGTTCTACACCAGGGGTGTCAAACTTGTATTGTCACATTATCATCACATGAGATATCATGACATTTTTACCCTGGGGTGGCCAGCACATGATGCATCTGGCCCGCAGGCTGAGAATTTGACACCCCTGTTCTATACTTAGGTAGGAAAACCCAAATGTACAAGTACAGGCTAGGAAACTTGGCTTAATGCCGGTAATTGTGAAAGGGATTTTGGAGTCCTGGTGAACAAACACTTAAACATGAGGCAATGGTATACAGCGGTAGCCAAAAAAGCCAATGCAATCCTAGGCTGCATTAATAGAGGCACAGAATCAAGATTACATAATGTTCTAGTACTGCTTTACAAAGCCTAAATTGGAATATGGCATCCAGTTCTGGTCACCACAATATAGAAAAGATGTTGAGGCTCTGGAAAGAGTGCAAAAAAAGCAACAAAAATGATTAGAGAGTTGGAGGCTAAAAGATATGAGGAACGGTTACAGGAATTTGATATGTCTAGTCTAATGAAAAGAAGGACTGGGGAAACATGATAGCAATCTTCCAATATTTGAGGGGCTGCCACAAAGAAGAGTGGGGTGTGTGTGTGTTAATTTATTCTGAAGGCAGGACAAGAAGCAATAGATGGAAGCTAATCAAGGAAAAGAACAACCTAGAATGAAGGAGAAATTTCCTGACAGAACAATTAACCAGTGGAACAATTTGCTTCCAGAAGTTGTGGTTGCTCCATCACTAGGGGCTTTCAAAAAGTGCCTGAAATGGTACTGGGTCTTCTGCTCAAGGAAGGGGTTGGACTAGACGACCTCCAAGGTCCCTTCCAACTCTTATTATTCTATGTTCTAAATTTAAAAGGTCCTTGGCTTTCTTGTTCCATGATCCATTCAAGAACAGGCACATGAAACTAATGCAAAGAATGCAAGTCTACAGAACATAACTTCAAAAAATCATGATGTTAAACAAGCAGGACATTTTGGATATTTAAAAACTCTACACATGGTCAAATGCCAGTTTTGGTGGCCAAGAATGAAGCAGGACATTGAGGATTATGTAAAGAGTTGTGCCACTTGTGCTACAAGGAAAACTAGACCAGGAAACCTCCAGTATTATTACAACCGGTAGCTGAGCCATCCCGGCCCTGGCAGAAGATAGGGATGGATTTTACAGTAGATTTACCTGACAGTGGGGGCACACAGTAATTTGGACTGTAGTGGATTTACTTTCCAAACAAGCACATTTTATTCCATGTAAAGGTCTACCATAAGCCAGAAAATTATCCAAAATGTTGTGAATCATATATATATATATAGACTACATGGAGTGCCTCGCAGAATCATTTCAGATAGAGGGGTTCAATTTACTGGAAAATTTTGGAGAGAATTCATACAAGCAATTGGATCCTCTCAAGGCCTGAGTTCAGCTTTCCATGCCCAGACCAACGGATTGGTTGAGAAGACTAACCAAATTATTGGACAATATTTGAGATGTTACGTAAATTATCAACAAACCAACTGGGCTGATTTGCTGCCATTTGCAGAGGTTGCTTATAATAATGCTGTACATAGTAGTACTGGGTTAACACCCTTTCAAATCAATACTGGGATGGAATTCATTCCCATGCCTGAATTGCAGAAGGACCTCCGCCCATTGAAGGCCATGAACATTATGAAGTTAAGAAAATTTTGGATTCTACGATTTTCAGGGGGAAATTACGATAGTTAATTTATTGGAAAGGCTATCCAATTTCACAAGTGACTTGGTTTAATAGCTGGAAAGTAAATGCTGATAGATTGGTGGGGAGATTCCATGAAAAATATCTACACAAGCCAAAACAGAATTCTGTGGGTGGCAGAGGAGCTTAAAATTGTGCATTGTATGATTGTGTTTAACCTAATTTCAATCTTTGTGTATTTTATGTCATTGCAGGAATTTCTTTTCCAATGAGGGAGGGCAACCTGTCAAGCCCGAAATTGACATAAGTGTAGCCATTTTAGTTTGTCTAAGTATATATTCTTTTCCTTATTTTCTCTGTGGTAGTCATGGGGGGAAGGGTTTCAGACTTGACACATTCATAAGGGGGGAGGAGTGGAGATAAAGAGAGTGTTATGGCTAGATGATCTTCTTTCCTGTGGGAAACCAGCTGTCCATGTTTGGGGCCCTGGAGGTGGAGATTTATGACATCAAGCAACATTGGATTACTTCTATTGGAGAATGTGACTTTTGGGGGTTGTTTCTAACTTCTAATATTGTGGGGTAATTCCGGGTTGGGTCAGATCTGGAATTACCATGGACTTTGCCAATTTGATGCTTTCCTAAATAAAAGAAAACTTCATGGAAGATGGACTTTGTTATTTTCTTTTAAAATGGATTTCATCACTTGGAAACCTGACACTGGATTTTTAAAAAGTGGTGAAATCTAATAAACTAATAATAAAAATAGCTACATTGGAATGAAATAATTTTTAAATGATAGTGATTAGAATTACGCTTGAAAAAACCCTATAATATTAATATGCAGTAGCAGAAATTCAACTTTTAACATATTAAAATGGATAGATTAAATACCTGACAGAGAAGAAACATATTGCTCTGTATTCTTCACTGTAAGGACATTTAGAAAATGGATAAAGAGCATAAAATCCGGAATGCATTATTTAATAGCAGGGGTGATTATTCTGAGGATGTAGATAAACACCCAGGTGGCTACAATGACTCTCTGAGAGCTAACCACCATCTAGCAAGGCTGGGTGTGTCAGAGCATTTGCAGCTTGACTACCATTATGAGACAAGCCAAGAGCAAAACACAGCACACAGAGATTTGGACATTTAACAGTGGTTTACATATAACAATTATATACAGACATACACATGATAGGTAAAATATTTACAAGTAATCTTTCTTCTTCTTAACTCTGCACAGAGAACTTCTGCAATGAATACTGAACACAATGAGAGAGGACATGCCCCCTAATGGCTGCCTTTATATAAACACATCTTAAAGGGGTAGAACCCATCCACAGTCTTAAAGGAAATACCCATGCTATGCTGATTCATTCTTATTGCATCAGCCTATATTGCATCAGCTTCATTGCTGGTCAGCTCTTAAATCCCAAGACCTTGACAGGGTGAAATTGTGTTCTCCATCTCCTGTTCTGGAAGGCATTGCACGAATAACCTAAACAGAAATAGAGCCAAATTTGGAGGGGGTTGCCATACTCCAAACAGAGCCAGGGTTTAATTTGGGGTGGGGGTCATCCTAGACTTATGCTTGCTGGTTGAAAAACAGGTAGCAGCCAGGTAGCAGGAGGGCCTTTGCCAACCTTCATATTGGACCCCAATTGTGCCTCTGCTGGGACTAGGGAGCTAATACAAGCAAAAAGTAATGTCAGACGTATTAATGTCATATTCAACTTCCCTTGGTTCTCATATTTGTCAACCTTACACATTCAGTACATCAAAAATGATTGCTAAGGGCAAAAGGGACATTCCACTGTTTCAAGTATTTGGGTAGAGGGGGGAGGAAAGGCCTCCCCAAATAGGTGGGGGAGGGTCCTTCTTCTTCCACCACTGCTTGGTTTTAGCTGAAAACACCAAATGCAAGAACTTGCCTATCAAATAAGAACCGGAGTGTGACCAGCAGGAGAGTGATGGGGAGGCTGAACAGGAGGTGATGGGGTTTGGGATAATGGACGTCCTCGGTGTCCTCCATGTCCTCCCAGGTGATCCCTGAAGGTAGCCAGTATTCCTGTCGCAAAAGCCACTGTGTGAGCTGAGCCATCTCCCTGGGAAGAAAGGCAGGGGGTGAGATGGGACACTGATGGAGTGTTTTCAGAAGGAGGGCCCGCTCTCAGCCCTCCCTACTGTAGAAAGTTAGCACCCACCCCCCTCCCAGAAGAATGAAATATTTTGGGTCCTATTAAAAAAGGCAGAATATTATATTTCCCTAAATGAGAAATGCAGAAACATGTTTTTTTAGAGGCAGAAAGCACCCCCTTCTTTTCTTCATAGCCCACAGCAGATGCCAGCACTTAAGAGATAACAAGCTTATTGAAAGAAGACAGGTATGTAGATAGCTCTATTCATAAGCAAATAGCCCTCACTCAAGATCCAACACAGGGTAAAGCCATTAAGCCACAATAGGAATTGCCCAAGCCCCTTTCAACACAAGCCCTTTCATTGCATCACCAGTCCAAACTTCAACCAAATTTAGCTCAAACACTTTGTCTGTACTTTGCCTATAGACCCAGGTATGACCCCTATATGACCCTTATATGGCACCATGGGAATCTGACAACAGCCAACAGAATACATGTTGTTGCACAGGAAAGGAAGTTCAAGTGCAAGAGAAGCTATAAATACCCCTCCACTCTCAATTCCATATGGTCAGCTGCCGAGAACCTAGGTGGTTCTGTTCATCATTAAACCTTCTTTCCAATCAACCTCCATGTTTCCAATGTGTTTTTCCCAGCTTGGAACTGAACCAGATGGATATTTCTTCCCAAACTACTCCAGCAGCATTACTCCATTTCCTTCTTTTCCTGCCAGTGCAATGTTGTTAGGTCAAGTCAGGAAAGAGACAATTCAAGGATTATTGAAACACTCCTGTGGTTATGTATCTCATGCTTAGCTTACAACTTTGCCATCTAAAAATGTGGAAGTGAGAAGTAGGGTCAGTTACAGTAGATTTAATTCTTAACACTAGGGATGAAATGGACAAGGAGTGGGAGTTGTCTTTTAGAACTCCTGGAGGACAGAGGACCCACCAGAAGATTGGAAAAGAGCTGATGGGGTTCCACTTTTCAAAAAAGTGGAAAAAGTGGATCAAGGAAATTACAATTAGCTTGATATCACCACCTGGGAAAATCCAGGAAAAGGTCAACAAGCAATAGATTTCTAGATGAGCAGCTGGATGTGAACAAGGTGATTACTGGAAGCCACCATGGGTTTGATGAAAGTAGGTCACCCAAACAAACCCGATTGCTTATTTGACAAAATCAGTGTAGTAAGGAAATGCTAAGGATATAGTATTGTTGGAAGAAATATTCACCTGGTTCAATTCCAAGCTGGGAGAAAGACTCATAACTTCATCTCTTGACACATCTGTTGACTCATAAATCATCTCTTGGCTCATAAATTCAACATAACGCAACACAAGCAATAGAACATAATGTTATAATTATGAAAAGTATGATCTTAAAAGCCCAGGCCAGCACAATACCACTGAGAAAGATAAACAAGAAACCCAAGAAGAAACCAGCATGGCTGCAAAAGATCTCTCTGACAAACTGAAAGACAAAAAGGACAAGTACAAAAAAATGGAAAGAGGGACACACAACTAAGGCAGAATATGATCAGATAGTCAGAGCACGCTGAAGGCCAGACAAGGAATAATGGATGGAATCTGATCAAGGAGAGATTCAACCTGGACATATAGAGAAATTTTTTGATAGTGAGAGCAATCAACCAATGGAACCGAAGTTGCCTTTGGAAGTCCTGGGAACTTCATCACTGGAAGCTTTCAAGAGGAGACTGGACTGGCATTTGTCAGAAATGGTGAAGGTTCTCCTGCTTGGGTGGGGGGTTGGAGTAGATGACCTAAAAGATCCCTTCCAACTCTGTTAATCTGTAATCTTTCAAGACACCATTTCTTACCCCAGCTGTCCTTCCGAAGTGCAGGAGTATTAGGAGGTGTATCTGGAGAATCTCTGGTTGACTGAGAGAACATCTCTGGGGTTTACATGGACCCCATAAGTTTGGCCAAACTTTTTGTTCAAAATCAAGAGAAAAGCTTTGACTCCTTGCGGTGCAAGCAACCTCAGGACACAAAAGAGCATGGATTGCAACAGGGCACAAGGCTTGTTTGTTATCTGCCCTGTCATCTTAAGTATTCAGGAAGACCACATCCCCAGGTCTATAGAGATTCTCAGTCCTCCAGGTCATGGTTGTCCCAACTCCAGAGGTAACTGGACTTTCTGGGTTTTCTCTGAAGGCGTTTCACTTCTCATCCAATACGTTTCTTGGACGAGAAGCGAAAAGTCTTCAAAGGAAAATTTCAGTTGCCTCTGCAAAAACCACCTTTGGAACCGCATCCCCATGTTAAAACATTGAATTTTGCTGCCACAGCTGAACCAAGGGGTTCACAGCTGGACCCCTTCCTTTTTTTGGGGAATTGAGGAAACGGTCCGGCAAGTTCTTGCACTAACAATGTTTGGTCCAGCGGCGAAAGCTCTGAAACGGGATTTCTGCAAGGGATGGAGAACGTGGCTACCGAATCGTCCTTTCTCTGGATTCACACGGGAACCCAGAACCCGAAGGAAACTCCCTCTCCGGAGCGACCCCACAACAGGAGCCCGAATCGGGAAAGAGAAAGGAAACTCCGCCGGGGAAAGCGACGCCCTCCTCCGTCTCGTAGCCGCTTCTGCTCGGGCTGGTTGGGAGAACTCAGGACTGGGGTCTCTTCTCTCCTCCACCCCTCCAACAAACAGCGTTGATGCCCCGCTACCCGGAAAGTACGCTCAGCGCTTACTCCAACCCCCTTTTGGGTGCCCGGACTGATGCTCTCCAGAGTTCCTAAATACCACCCCCGCGCCCCGCCCTCTTCTCCGTCCCAACGCCAGACCTGTTGCAGTTGCTGCTGCTGCTGCTGCTGCTGCCACCACCGCCTGGGTCTCGGATCGCTCTTTTGCCAGCTCCGATCCGGGAGGGAGAAGGGGGGGTCCTTGGGTGGGCGGGGTTCAGGGTGGACGCCTTCCCTGAATGTGGGCGAAATGCCAAGGAGCCTCTCAGGGCAGGAGAACGCGGGGCCACTCGCCGCCTCTGGGACGGAGCGAAGGTTTTCCCACCTCTCTCCTCCTTCTTAGAGTAGCTCAGGAGATTGTAAAGGGAGAAAGAATGAGAAAGAAAGAGAGGGAGGAATGAGAGTGAGAATGAGAGAGAGAATGAAAGAATGAGAAAGAGAGAGACTGACAGAATGAGACAGAGAATGAGAGAGAGTAAGTGTGTGAAAGAGAGAGAGAGAGAGAGAGACCATTTGGTTCAGCTGTGGCAGCAAAATTCAATGTTTTAACATGGGGATGTGGTTCCAAAGGTGGTTTTTGCAGAGGCAACTGAAATTTCTGGTTTTTCTTTGAAGAGATTTTGCTTCTAGTCCAAGAAACTTCTTGGGTGAGAAGTGAAACGCCTTCAGAGAAAAACCAGAAAGCCCAGTTACCTCTGGAGTTGGGACAACCATGACCTGGAGGCAAGTTCTGTTCCAGAGAGAGAATATGAGAATGAGAAAGAATAAGTGTGTTTGTGTGTGTGTGTGTGTGTGTGTGTGTGTGTGAGAGAGAGAGAGAGAGAGAGAGAGAGAGAGAGAGAGAGAGAGAGAGA